GGTGAGCTGGAGGTGAGCGGTGGCCTGGCACAACACCTGAAGCCACGGAGCTGCGCTCCGACCAAACCATCAGCCTGGCCAAACCACCGGCATGCGCCGGGCCTGAAGCTTGAACTCAGGGCCTGGGCACTGTCCCTGAGCTCCTTTCGTTCAAGGCTGGCTCTCTACCCTAGCTTGAACCACAGCTCCACAACTGACTTGTTGGTAATTAGAGAGACGTGTCTCCTGTCTAGGCTGGCTTTGAACTGTGGCCCTCAGATCTCAAGCTCCTGAGGAGCTGGGATTCTAGGTGTGAGCCCTCAGCACCCGGTTACCTCATGAGCATTTTGTTGCAAACACTGGCTGAAAGCATCTTGGTCTGCCCCAGGCTCTCTCATGGCCCGGGGAAAGCTCCCGAGCCCTCTGACCCGGCCTCAGCGTGGGAACAGCCTGTCACTGTGTCTCAGGTGTGCCAGGATTCTGCAGGAAGCATTCTGAAGAGACCAGCCATGCTGGTGTAGAAACCCAGCTAGAACAGTTCCTCCCCCAATTTCCTCCGCCTCCCCCCCCCCCCCCCCGCAGTTCAGAGCTGGGTACTGGGCAGGTGTCTGGCAGAGGCTGGCAGGGCCCCGCCCTGCATGGTTCAGAGACTCTGACCCACCTGGTCCACTGTGAGTCCCCCTGTGTGTGACTGGGTCCCCAGCCCCAGAGACTGGCCTCTGCCATGTTGCCCATTATCATCTGCACTGTGACCTTTAAGAAAAAGCAAGATCCAACCGGGTGCTGTGGTTCCTGCTCTTATTCCACCGATGTGGGAACCGATGTGGGAGGCAGAGACGCAGAGACTGGGGCTGGGGCGGGGGGAGACAGTGATGGAGCTCCTGAGAGGCGGGCATGGCGCTACCTGCCATCCCAGCCATGGAGAAGATGCGAAAAGGATCACGGTCTAGGCTGGCCCCAGGCAAAAATGAAAGACCCAGGGTGAACAAATGCAGCAGTGGTACTCACTAGACACTGTGTTGAAATGAACTGCACAGCTCGTGGGTGGGGACAGGAGGAAAAAACTGGGAGAGAGCGAGGGAAAGGGGTGACAGTGTCCAAAAAATGTACTCATTACCTAACTTATGTAACTGTACATCACCTTCATAATAACAATGAAAAGGAAAAGTGATAGACCTTACCCCAAAAAATAATGAAAGCAAGAATTGAGGCTGCCTTGTAAGTACCAGGCTCTAAGTTCAAGAAAGATAAAGAAGTGAAGAAAGGGGAAGAAAAGGAAGAGAGGGAGGTAGGGAAGGAGAGAGAAGAAAGGAAGGAAAGAGAGAAGAAGAAAAAGGAAGAGAGAAGAGGGGAGAAGAAGAGGGGAGGGGAAGCGAGGAGAGGAGAGGGGAGGAGAGGAGAGGAGAAGGGAAGGGAAGGGAAGGGAGGGGAGGGGAGGGGAGGGGAGGAGAAGGGAAGGGAGGGGAGGAGAGGGGAGGGGAGGAGAGGAAAGGAGAGGAGAGGAGAGGAGAAGGGAAGGGAGGGGAGGGGAGGAGAGGAGAGGAGAAGGGAGGGGAGGGGAAGGGAGGGGAGGGGAGGAGAGGAGAGGAGAGGAGAAGGGAAGGGAAGGGAAGGGAGGGGAGGGGAGGAGAGGAGAGGGAGAGGAGAGGGGAGGAGAAGAAAGGAGAGGAGAGGAGAAGAGAGGAGAGGGGAGGGGAGGAGAGGAGAAGAGAGGAGAGGAGAGGGGAGAAGAGAGGGGAGGAGAAGAAAGGAGAGGAGAGGAGAAGAGAGGAGAGGGGAGGGGAGAGGAGAGGGGAGGAGAAGAAAGGAGAGGAGAGGAGAAGAGAGGAGAGGGGAGGGGAGGAGAGGAGAAGAGAGGAGAGGAGAGGGGAGAAGAGAGGGGAGGAGAAGAAAGGAGAGGAGAGGAGAAGAGAGGAGAGGGGAGGGGAGAGGAGAGGGGAGGAGAAGAAAGGAGAGGAGAGGAGAGAGGAGGGGAGGGGAGGAGAGGGGAGGGGAGGGGAGGGGAGGGGAGGGGAAGGGAGGGGAGGGGAGGGGAGGGGAGGGGAGGGGAGGGGAGGGGAGGGGCTATACTTCCGCCATCAACATGGCAGGTGTGCTGTCTCTCTGCAGACGCACTATCCAGGAGGAACTGAGGCTTCCACCCCAACTCCTCTTCTAGGAAGCAGTGTTATCCCTGTGCAAGTTTCTAGCCACCTCCACTGAACAAGCCAGCCCCAGGAATGGACACAGAGATCCCGGAGGCTGGGGAGAGGGGCCCTCCCCCAGTGTGTCTCCCCCCTCCCTCCCGCACAGCACAGCGGCCCCTGCAAAGCACCAGAGCCCTTCCCAGACACGCGAGAGATCCATCCTCACCAAACTGAGCCCACTACTCCCTTCCTCACCTGGCCTCCGCCTTCCTGCATCCCCGGGGGTCCTGCCTCTCCAGGGTCGTAGGGCACGGGGGATTCTGATTCAGTGGATGTGCGGATTTGGTGCAACAGATGTGGGGTCAGACATAGGATGCTACATCCTCAACAGGCGA